GGCTGGATCCCCAGTAAGGGGCCTGCAAGAAGCAGCTGATTGATGTTTCCCCCCCTCCTCCTCCTCTCCCTCAACCCATTCTCCCTCTCCCGTTTCCATCCTCCTTTAAAAATCAATAAAAACATTAAAAATATATATTTTATTGATTTTTTTACAGAGAGGAGGAGAGAGGGATAGAGAGCTAGAAATGTCGATGAGAGAGAAACATCGACCAGCTGCCTCTTGTACACCCCCTACTGGGAATGTGCCCGCAACCAATGTACATGCCCTTGACCGGAATCGAACCTGGGACCTTTCAGTCCGCAGACTGACGCTCTACTACTGAGCCAAACCAGTATCGGCAATAAAAACATTTTTAAAAATTGGTATAAAGGATTATTCATCCATATCTTGTCTATATATCTACAGGCACTTTTTCATATGCAGTTTATCTCTTCATACTCCCAACTAAACAGTACCCGTATGTGCAAATAAGCTGAGTTAAAGATTCCTATGTTATTGGCTTCAGTTTATTTAACCACTAGAGGCCCGTTGCATGAAATTGGCCCCTGCCCTTGCCCTCCTACCCCCCCCCCCCCCCCGCCATTGCAGCTTTGTCTGGAAGGAAGGAAGTTCGGTTGGAAGAACGTCCAGTCTAATTAGCATATTATGCTTTTGTTATTATAGATTAAAAATAGTTAATAGTTATTACAAATAATGACACACATAGGCCTTTTTATTGAAATGTGTTGTTTTTCTTTTACTATGAAATTAGCAGGTATGAACATTTATATATTGCTTTATTGGCATTACCAAATTGTTTGCCAACGTCAGTCCTCTAATATTCAGTGCTACTAACAATTTACAGTTCTTTATATTTTAAAATAAACATATTTCCAGTTTAATAGTTATAAATATTAGATAATATCCCACATGCCAAGCATTCAAAATGGGGTTTGCACTGGCATACCCTCCTTGGAGCACAACCATCGAATCTCCTATTTAAGCGAATTTTCTTCCTCCTAAACTCTAAGGGTCTCCACGATACTTGCAGCCAGAAGAACAGTGGGTAGCAGCAGCTCATCCTGGGCTAACCTCCTGAATCTGCCTCCAAGGCCCCCTTTTCTCTGACTTCCCAGTAAGCTAACAGCTCACTGCTTGCCCACGTTGTTTCTAGAGAGCCAAAGTAGGCTCAGGCTCTCTCCAGTTGCTTTTTCTATCCTAGGCCCTTCCTTGTTTCATTGTCCCCAGCTTTAATAAACGTACTCTCAAAAATTTTAAAAATAGGGGTGTGCTAATTTCCACATACATCTCAGTTATATTCTCAGGGCCCTGGGAAATGACTACCAGAAGGGTCCACAGACCCAGTGGGCCATCGTGAGCTGGATCTTGGGCCAGGACCCAATTTATTTCCTGGTCCTCTTAAGTCATGATGACACTTCCAGACTCCGGATGTCAAGGTCAACCTGTCCTCAAAACAGTTTACAGTTACCTGAATGAATGGCCCTATGCAGGACCAACTACATTATTTGTGTGCCCAGTACTCCTGGATTGAGAACGAGTAAGAGAAATTGCCCACTAAAAGTGCCATGGTTCTCCCAAGCCCAGGCAAGGAAAGGATGGTGAGGCGGGCCAGAGTGTGTGATCAAGAGGCCCCTCCTGGGAAAACAGGAGATAGATCATGTGTGTGAGCTTTAAGCCCCCAGCACGTTTCATTTTCCCCATCAGACTTCACTTACAGAACACACATTTATAGATAAAATTATTAAGAATTTTAAGACAGCAACTGCAGAGTATTAAACTGTAAGTGGAGGAGCATATTATGTCTTAGAGCCATAGATTTCTTAGGGAATTATTACACTTGTTTTGGTATTAACTGGCTCCTTTCTCCTGGGTACCTGGACTCCTTCAGTCAGAGCGTTCAGGATCTGAAATTGATTCAGGTCCAGAAACTGGCCATAGGGGTCTGATTTATTTTTGTTGGGGTGACTGCCTTCAGCATCTTGATCTATCCTTGGTTCATTTTAGTGTTACTGTAGGTGAAAAAGGGGCACTGTAATAAATCTAACAGAAAGTAACCTCATAGGGTGATCTGATCATAAATTCCCAACTGGTCATGTCAGTGGGTAGTTATGCACCAGGCCTGTAACTTATTTAGTAAAAGGTTTAAGCAAGCCATGTGAGCTTTTTGTTGTTGTTCTTATTAGTGTGCGTGTGTGTGTGTGTGTGTGTGTGTGTGTGTGTAATTTTAGAGAAGGAGAGGGGAGAGAGAGATAGAAACATCAATGATGAGAGAGAATCATTGTTTGGCTGCCTCCTGCAGGCCCCACACTGGGGATCAAATTTGTAACCCCAGCATGTGCCCTGACTGGGAATTGAACTGTGACTTCCTGGTTCATAGGTCGATGCTCAGCCCCGGAACAGCACCGGCTGGGCAAGCTGTTTATTCCTGTGCACATAGATGGGCACACCTTCGGAATGCCAGAGGAATTCTCTTTTCCAGACTCCTGAAAGAGCGCATAGAGTCTTAACTGTCCTGTGATCCAGTTCCTGCCTGGCTTTCTCCCACTTTCATGTAATCTTCCTAACATTCCCTTCTTAGTTCCAAATGCATAAAAGGAACAGCAGACTGTCATTCTCTGAAATATTTGAGGTCTTGCTTCCTTGCCATTGCCATTTGTTTTAACTCAAACTCATAAAATTTTCTACAGGTTCGGACGTTCTTTTTAAATTTTTATTTATTGATTTTAAAGAGAGGTAGGGAAAGAAATGTCAATTTGTTTCATTTATTTATACACTCATTTTTTGTTTTGTTAAAATATATTTTTATTGATTTCAGAGAAGGGAAAGGGAAAGAGAGAGAGAGAGAGAGAGAGAGAGAGAGAGAGAGAGAGAGAAGCATCGATGCTGAGAAAGAATCATAGATTGGTTGCCAGCCTGCACATCTCCTACTAAGGTTCGAGCTGGCAACCCGGGCATGTATCCTTGACCGTAATCTAATTTGGGACCCTTCAGTCCTCAGGCCGATGCTCTGTCCACTGAGCCAAACCGTCTAGGGCTGTGATTGGCAAACTGCCCGGCTCGCGAGTCGCGGTTTGCCCCTCTGTTGTCTAATGAGTTTGCCGACCACTGGGATAGGGGCTTAATCACAAGGAACAACAACAGCCTGTAATTATTGGAATCGGAGTCTAGGTCAGTGATCTCATTGTCTACAGAGCAGTAAACCATGTCTCACGAGCTACATGTGGTTCGAGAGCCCCAGTTTGCCGACCAATGGTCTAGGGCTATACACTTATTGTTTGATTTTTGTATGTGCCCTCACTGGTGTTTGAACCCACAATCTTAGCGTCATCAGGGTTGGGGCCAGCCAGGGGAAGGGCCGTGAGGGGGTTGGCCGCCAATCCCACCCCCAGATCGGGCCAGTTCGTGATCACAGTGGACAGCATAGCAACCTGTTGTTCTGGTCATTACAAATGCTGGCTATATATATATATATATATAACTTACTAAACCATCCTATAGATGGATGGATGGGTGGATGGGTGGATGGGTGGATGGGTGGATAGATGGATGGATGGATGGATGGATGGATGGATGGATGGATGTTCTGTCCTCATGTTCAGACACACTCAGAATTCGGTCACATTTGTACTCCCCTGGTACCTGCTGGCTAAGTTTCTCGTGTAACTCTCTGATGTTCTAGTTCTGACCTTATCAGACACAGTACTGACCTACTGTAGATTAAAGGCCTATGAGCCAGGGGGCATGGAGGTGGCAGATCCTTAGGGGGCAGTTTTATCAAGCAGTTGGGGGAGTCCTTCAAGTGAGGAGAGAGCGCTAGCTAGCTCTTACAGGGCCACCTTTGTAGTCAGGAGGGGTTAAGGAGTATTTGGGTATTTGAGATTTTGGAAAGGTTTCAACTCTTGCCTCCATCTTATGGATTAGAGTCCCTTTTTCCTAATCAGGGTCCTGATGTTGACATAGCATACTTCCCTGGTTGAGAGTTAACTTTCTTCGGAGCTGGGCTATTCTGACGAGCCTGGTCTTCAGTGTTTTCTGACCTCCTGCCGCCACAGAAAAAAGCCTGTTTGTATGTTTACCTGGGGGGTCCTGTGGCTTTCATTTTTTACTTTCACTTGACTGTTAATCACTCTTAGCTTTTTGTTAGCTTTTTCTAGAGCTTCAACTGAATTTAATAATAGCTATTCAATTTCATTGTCATAGTCACTGTTTCCTCTGACTTTCCACGTGCCTGATACATCTAGTCAACTAGAGTGTTCCCTTCCACAGACAGACAGCACTCTCCATCACTGGAGAAAGTGTGAGATCAGACCAGCGCCTGGGGCCATGCATTGTCTGTGTTACGCCCACCACCAGATATGGAGTCCTGATTGCCATCTAGTCTGTGAGCAATTCAACTCCAAAACTATGTTGTATTTCCAATTTTCTCAGATCACATATGGCACCAACTATTAGTAGGTACTTGTTCTCTGAAAAAACCCTCTGAATTGGAGTTTAGAATTCAGACTGTTTATTAGGGAATTCCCTTGGGATCCAAACCATGAAAGAAAGAGGAAGCAAGATTGGCAGATTAGGTCCTTCTCTTAATTAAGGGTGAAGGAGGTTGGATATCTATACTTCGTTACATTTCTTTCAAAACATTTTTTTTGGCTTTGTTTTCATATTTGATAATTCTAAACTTATAACTTACTAAACCATCCTTCTATATCAAAAATAACTTCTACTTTCTTTAGGCAAACCAATTCCTTCCTTCTAAGATATTCATGATATTTTTATATCATGAATATATATTTCAATCCTTTGAAAATAAATCTCAGTTGGCAATGTTCTCAGTAAGCTGTACATTTCTATGATGTTCCAGTTTTAAATTATAATCACTGATACTGAAATGGGTTTATTTTTTTAAAAAAGCATGATGGGTTTTATGTTTTAAATATTTTATTTATTATTTTCTCTTTTTAGAAACTATACCCTACTTCCCTAAACTGGTTAATAGTGGCATGGAAGATCCATTGGGTGAGTATCATCTATATTTTTTAAAAATTCATCTTTATTGTTATGAGTATTATAGATGTCTCCCCTTTTTTCCTCCCCATTGACCCTCTCTACCCTGCCCTCGCCCCCCTCCCCAGGTCTTCACCACACTATTATCTGTGTCCATGGGTTATGCATATATAGTATGTGCCTATAAGTTCCCTGGTTAATGTTTCCCCACCCACCCCCGCCTTCCCTCTGAGGTTCGTCAGCCTGTTCCATGCTTCTGTGTCTCTGGATCTATTTTGTTCATTAGTTTATTTTGTTCATTAGATTTCACAGATGAGTAAGATCATGTGATACTTGTCTTTCTCTGACTGACTTATTTCACTTAACATAATATTCCCCAAGTCCCTCCATGCTGTCTCAGAGGGTCAGAGATCCTTCTTTTTTACAGCTGCATAGTATTCCATGGTATAAATGTACTGCATCTTTTTTATCGACTCATCTATTGATGGGCACTAGGGCTGTTTCTAGATCTTAACTATTGTAAATTGTGCTGCTATGAACCTAGAGGTGCATATATTCTTTCTGATTGGTGTTTCGGGTTTCTTAGAATATATTCCTAAAAGTGGGATCACTATATCAAATGGCAGCTCCATTTTTAATTTTTCAGGAAACCCTATACTGTTTTCCACAGTGGCTACACCAGTTTTCATCCCACCAGCAGCAGTGTACTAGGGTTCCCTTTTCTCCACAACCTGGCCAGCACTTGTCACTTGTTGATGTGTTGAGGATAGCCATTCTGACAGGTGTGAGGTGATACCTCATTGTCGTTTTAATTTGCATCTCTTTGAAGATCAATCGGTGACCTGAAGCATTTTTTCACTTGTCTCTTGGCCATCTGTATGTCCACTTTGGAGAAGTGTCTATTTAAGTTCTTTGCCCAGTTTTTATTTGGATTATTTGTCTTCCTTTGTTAAGCTACATGAGTACCTTATATATTTTGGAAATTAACCCCTTATTAGATGTATCATTGGTGAATATATTTTACCAAATTGGGGGGGGGGGCGGGGAATGCCAGTGTAACTTGAAGAAGTATAGTAAAAATGTTACCAAGTTTACATTCTTGTCATGTCCAGTTACCACAGATGACTGTGGTTAGTTAGGCACTTTGACCTACTTGTACAAGTAATCAGATAGCTCAGATTAATAGCCAGGCTTTGAGAAGACTTTTTCCTCTTTCTTCTTTTTTAGAGAGAGAGGAAGTGTGGAGGAGAGAAACATTGATCAGTTCCACCCCATACATTGCCTCCGATCAGGGGTGAAACCTGCAACCTGAAGGGGAATCAAATCCACAGCCTTTGGTGTATGGGATGGTGCCCAGATGACTGAGCCACTCAGTTCAGTGGGAAGACTGTTCTTGAAAATCTTACAAAATCTGAATTTCTCCTTTGATTTTTAAAAAATACTTTTTATTGACTTAAGAGAGGAAGGGAGAGATAGAAACATCAGTGATGAGCCGAAACCGGTTTGGCTCAGGACTGAAAGGTCCCGGGTTCGATTCTGGTCAAGGGTATGTACCTTGGTTTTGGGCGCATCCCCAGTAGGGGCTGTGCAGGAGGCAGCTGATCGATGTTTCTGACTCTTATCTCTCTCCCTTCCTCTCTATAAAAAGCCAATAAAATATATATTTTTAAAAAAATCAGTGATGAGAGAGAATAATAGATTAGTAGATTAGCCACCTGTACACTCCCTACTGGGGATCAGGCCTGCAACCCAGGCAAGTGCCCGACCTCTTGGTTCATAGTTCAATGATCAACCACTGAACCACCATGATTGGGCACCTTTTATTTTAATGATCCTAAGTGGCTTCTGTAGGATTCTTACCCCCCCTCTCCCTGAAGAAAGGGTACTTACATATAGTTCATCAGTGAAATTCTTATATAGAACACCAGAGGGCAGTCAGTACTTTATTCATAAATTTATAGTTTCATTACCAAGTTAATTCTTTTTTTTATTTTTTATTTTTTTATTTTTATTTTTTAAATATATTTTATTGATTTTTGTACAGAGAGGAAGGGAGAGAGAGGGAGAGTTAGAAACATCGATGAGAGAGAGTCATCGATCAGCTGCCTCTTGCACACCCCCTACTGGGGATATGCCCACAACCAAGGTACATGCTCTTGACCGGAATCGAACCCCGGTCCCTTCAGTTCCCAAGCCGACGCTGTATCCACTGAGCCAAACTGGTTTCGGCTAATTCTTTTTTTAAAAAAATAATAATATATTTGTGATTTTCTTAAAATATATACTTATTGATTTCAGAGAGGAAGGAAGAGGGAGAGAGATATATAAACATCTATGATGAGAGAGAATCATGGATTGGCTGCTTCCTGCAAGTCTCCCACTGGGAATTGAGCCCATACCCCGGGGAATGTGCCCTTGATCGGAATGGAACCTGGGACCTTTCAGTTTACAGGCTGATGCTCTATCCACTGAGCCAAACCAGCTAGGGCCAAAGTTACTAGTAATTCTTGAGAGGATATTTATGAACATTTTAACTTAGTAAGTCAAGTTGATTGTAATTGTCTGGTGACAAATCCTAAAGAACATCTCTATATGGCCAATAAGAATAATATACAATAACTCCAAAGGTTTTTACTGGAAACTTATTTTTCTCTCTGACCTTCTACATCACCTAACTCAAGCATAACTTAAATTTAATTTAATGTAAGTAATTAAATTTATCATTAAGCTATCGATAATTAAATTTAACTTCAATTAATTATAACAAATTTATTAGAGAATAACATAATGAAAGTTGCTATGGAAGTTAAAGTTGGCCAGTAGTCAATTGAAACATAAATTGAAATGTGCTTTTGATCACTAATATAAGAAAAAAGTTGTCTTCTGTGCTAGTGAGAAGATTTTTCCTCTAATACTTTAAATCTTGGAATTTGTAAATTAACATATACATTCATTTGTGGATTTTAGAAAAAATGGAAATGATTCATAGTTACATATTTAACAACCAGCCTCATTCTCTGTTTCCTCCATCCCCTCTTCAAATGTTATATGATTTTTTTCTTAGTTGCTTACAAAACATACATATGATAAGAATTTGGTTTATGAAGTTATAGTGCACTCAATGCCATTTGACAAAGTAAAGATTCTGAATGTAAAATGAGTTTGTTTCTAAGAAGATGGAGTCTGTATAATATGGGTGAGAATTTTGTTAAGTTGGTTTAGCTAACAGTTATGTAGATGTATTGAAAAAGAATTATGTTTTCTAGCCAAAACCGGTTTGGCTCAGTGGATAGAGGGTCAGCTTGGGGACTGAAGGGTCCCGGGTTCGATTCCGGTCAAGGTCATATACCTTAGTTGCAGGCATATCTCCAGTAGGGGGTATACAAGAGGCAGCTGATTGATAACTCTCTCTCATCGATGTTTCTAACACTCTCTCTCTCCCTTCCTCTCTGTACAAAAATCAATAAAATATATTTTTTAAAAATTATGATTTCTATTCTAAAAATAAAATGAGGGATTTTTATCCATCAAGTTCTAGTGGGACTGACCTATGGCCTCTAGGACCTTTCCTACATAGACAAATGTTTAGACATTTTATTTATAGTTTAAAATCCATTAATTTTGTTAGTAATAACATTTGTAAATACCATTACTGATCTCATTGGAAAAGTCTTTAAATTAAGCTCACTTTAGGGGATATGTTTTCCAAATTTTAACTTTTTCTAGAAAGTTTGACTTAATATCACTGACAATGCATACTATCAGTTTTTGTCTTGTTTTTATTCTTTTTTGAGAAAATGTCTGTCAAATATCTAAGCATGAATAACAATTTGTCATTCAATCTTTCCTTTGAAAATGGTATCTTATGAAAAAAAACTGGCTAGCTCAGCTTGCAACTTAATCATGCAAGTAGTGCCTTTTCTGAAGGTAACCATTGCATTTATGTATATGCTTTATGCATACTTACCATTTCATCAGACATAAAAAAAGACATGTACCAAAGGGTTGAGAGTTATTAAAACTAATAATTTTTATATTTGTATCAAGGACATTCTTAAAGCTGGAGTTATTTTTAACTTTAATTATACTAGAGTCCCAGTGCACAAAATTCATGCACTAGGGGCCGGGGGTTCCTTCACCCCAGCCTGCACCCTCTCCAGTATGGGATCCCTCAGGGGATGTCTGACTGCTAGTTTAGGGGCATTAACTCCAGCCGTTAAGAAAATCACACAGAATGTCCTTGACATACAAACAGTGTGGTTTTATGAGTTGTTTTAATAATAATGGCCATTCCTTTAAATAGTATCTGCTTACATACAATACAGCTGGTACTATATGAATTCAGAATGCTAATATCACAAAATCATAGAAGGTTGTAGTGGAAATAACCTTGAATTGTCTAGTCCAAACTTTTAAAAATGTTGGAATTCCCTTTTCAAATTTTGAATGCTTTTTGTCCTAAGAAGCTTAACCAACTTTTGAGGCAACCCATTTTCTGTGAAAGGACTGGGGGACTCTAGTGGCAGGCAAGTGGTGCGATCCCCAGGACTGGGGGACCCTGGCAGGACTGAGGGGACGGGGTGCCACCATCTTTGTGATGGTCAATTTGCATATTCCCTCTTTATTAGATAGGATAGTGGTGATGGGTATGAGGCCTATTACAAATTGGTGGTACTACCTTGATTTGTGTTAGTGTAACAGCACTTTTGCTTACTATTGCTTTTGAATCATCAGTGCAAATGTCAACACAGTGAAAAAGGCAAACAATTCTTTACTATTATTAAGTATATAGTTGTACCTCTCGGTCTCCTGAAAGGACCTCAGCGATCCCCAGGGATTGATGGACCATACTTACTTCTGCTCCCTGAGGTTCATAGAGTTTCTTCTTTGAAAATCCTGAGCAAAGACAAGACTTAGTTCTGGAAATTGTATTGAGAAGGACCAGGCTTTTGACAACTTCATTAAGTTTCTGTAGTTCCCTCCCTTCTACAGAAGTGAACAGTTTGTTGGAC